TTAAAAGAAGTGTTTTTGTTGTTGTTTCCTGTTAACTGATCTAAAGCTGCTTAAAATCTCTACTCAAAATCAATTTAATTGGATAAGCTTTGTTCCAGTTATTGAAAGTTCTTCCAGGGATTCAGTCTCCACGTGGAAGTTGTTGTCCACTAGGCTTGGCAATGATGGGCAAGTTCTACAGCTACCCCATCCAGTCCAGCAACCACTAGGCCCATGTAACGATGGAGCCTTTGAAGTATGTGGCTACTGAGACTGAAGGGCTCAACTTTTTTTTAAGTTTTATTTTAACTTATTTAAACTACCATTTATACAGCACATGTGGCCAGTGGCTGTGGAATTGAAACCCACAACTATAAATGACAGGTGTTCCTGTGAGTTTGTGGCCAAAACAGTCAGGAAGACATGAGAGCAGCAAAGTCCTTGTCTTCATTCATCTTATCCTAGTGGCTAGGTTGGAGGCAAGGCCTGGCTTTCCATCCCTTCTTTGGGGCTTACTCTCTTCCAACATGGGGCATACAGGAAAACTCTGCAATGTGGCTGGATCCTGGTATGTTAAAAGAGGAGGTAAGGATATTTAGACACTAAGCATTTTCTGTTTCAATAAATCCTAACTTTCAAGTCTGTTATCTCTGTGAGGGCACAAAAATCCTATTATAGGAAATACAAGTTCTCCTTTTTGCCTTTTCTTCTGCTCCCTGTCCTCATCCTCCTCCTCCTTTTTCTCAACTTCTTCCTCTTCTTCCTCTTCTTTCTTTACTAGCAAGGCTACTACCTCTTCCCTACACCCAAGCAGATGGCTGACGTGGTCTAACTTAGACAGAAAGTCATTTACAGACAAATGCAGCAGAAGCGCAGTGTGACATTTCTAAACTCATCTCCCATCACAGAAGCATGTATTTTACAGTCAGTTCGGTGCTGCAGTTTGGTGAAAGGCCCACAATGATCAAGAACACAAAGCAGCTTTTGTGCTCATAAAACTGTAGGTGGCCCGAGATGTCCCTCAGCAATGTTTCATTTTAACAACATTGAAACACATTAAAAAACAACACAGAAAACTTGCAATGACATTTCAGCTACCCAGCACTATATTATTCTAAACCATGGAAACCAAATGTAAACCCTTTTCATGGCAGAAGGTAGGATCTGTTTTTCTTCTGTGTGAATTTATATCTGCATCTAATAATATTTTTTTCTGTTCTAACTTCTGGATTATTTGTATCTACATTTTCAACCACTCCTGGTGCAAAAGGAGTTAATATCAATATCTCACAAAGCATAGTGAATTACAAAAAACAATGTAAAACATTGCGTTAAAATCTTTAACAATGGAAGTTTAACAATGTAAACAGGAATTTAAAGAAGTGATTGACTTTGTAAGAGTTATTTTAGCAAAAATGAAACTATAGGATAATATCAATTTAAAGCACCCTGCAAAAAAAAAAATCAAAAACTGGAGATATAAATAAACCAATCACAGGATACATATGGGATGATTTCACTTTGATGAGGTATCTAAAATAGTCAAACTGATAGAAGCCGGGTCTAGAATGGTGATTACCAGAAGCTGGGGGCAGCGGGTTACAGGAAGTTGTTCAATGGGTATGAAGTTTCAATTACATCTGGAATAAGAAAAGGATGCCCACTCTCTCCAATCCTATTCAAAATAGTTCTGAAAGTCCCAGCCAGAGCAATCAGGCAAGAGAAAGAAATAAAAGGCATCCAAATTGATGGATGGAGGATGTCATCCAACCTGAAATCTGAAAGGAGGATGTCAGATTATCTCTGTATGCTAATAACATAATCTTATACCTCAGAAACTCTAGAGATTCCTCCAAAAGACTCCTAAGCTCGATAAACAACTTCAATATAGTTTCAGGATACAAAACAAAATATGTGAAAATCAGTTGGATTCTTTTTTTTTTTCTTGAGACGCAGTCTCACTCTGTCACTTAAGCTAAAGTGCAGTGGCACGATCTCGGCTCACTGCAGTCTCCACCTCCCAAGTTTAAGTAATTCTCCTACCCAATCTTCCAAGTAGCTGGGATTACAGGTGCATGCCAACATGCCCACTAGTTAGTTTCTTTCTTTTCTTTTCTTTTCTTTTCTTTCTTCCTTCCCTTCTTCCTTCCTTCCTTCCTTCCTTTCTTCGTTTCTTTCTGTTTTCCTTTTTTTTATATTTTTGGTACAGACAGCGTTTCACCATTTTGGCTAGGCTGGTCTTGAACTTCTGACCTCAGATTATCCTCCCACAGCAGCCTCCAAAAATGCTGGTATTACAGGCGTGAGCCACCATGCCTGGCCAGTTACATTTCTATATATCAACAACACTCAAACTGAGAACCAAATCAAAAACTCAATTCCATTTACAAAAGCCACACACAAAAGTAAAATACCCAGGAATACATTTAACCAAGGAGATGAAAAATCTCTGCAAGGAGAACCACATAACACTGATGAAAAAAATCTTGAATAATGGAGACCATAAATCTAAGCAAATTAGCACAGGAACAGAAATCAAACACCTCATGTTCTTACTTATAATTGGGAGTTAAGCAATCAGCAAGCATGGACATAAATAGGGGAACAAAAACACTGTAGACTACTGAAGGGTGAGGGGAGAGGAAGTGGATTAAAAAACAACCTATCAAGTACTCTGCTCACTACCAGGGTGGCAGAATCTGTACTTCAGACCTCAGCATCACAAAATATTCCCTTGTAATAAATCTGCACATGTACTCCTTTTATCTAAAATAAAAGCTGAAATTAAAAAAAAAAGAAATTGTAGCCAAAACGAACAAATGGAAAGACATCCCAAGCTCATAGATAGGAAGAATCAATATTGTTAAAATGTCCATATTGCTCAAAGTGATCCAAAGATTCAACACAATTTCTATGAAATTACCAATGTCATTTTTCAGAGAAATAGAAAAAACAATTCTAAATTTCCTGTAGAACCAAAAAGCAGCCTGAATAGAAAAAACAATCCTAAGCAAAAAGAACAAAGCTGGAACATCACGTTATGTGACTTTAAATTATGCTACAAGGTTATAGTAACCAAAACAGCATGGTACTGGTATAAAATAGACACGTAGACCAGTGGAACAGAATAGAGAACCTAGAAACAAAGCCACCTACCTACAACCAATTGATCTTCAGGAAAGTTGATAAAATAAACAATGGGGAATGACACTCTATTCAATAAATAGTGCTGGGAAAACTAGCTAACTATATGTAAAAGAATGAAACTGCACTCCTATCTCTCATCATATACAAAAATTAATTCAAGACAGATTAAAGGCTGAAATGTAAGACCTATAAAAAATCCTGGAATAAAACCTAGGAAAAACTCTTCTGGACATTGGCCTAGCAAAGAATTTAGGACTAAGTCCTCAAAAGCAAATGTTAATGAAAATAAAAATTGACAAATGGAATTTCATTAAATGAAAGGGTGCCTGCACAGTAAAAGCAACATTCAACAGAATAAACAGACAGCCTGAAGAATGGGAGAAAATGTTTGCAAACTATGCATCCAACAAAGAACTAAGATCCATCATCTGTAAGGAACTCAAACAGATCAAAGAGAAAAAAATCCAAAATATGAATAGAATATGAATAGACACTTCTCAAAAGAAAATATGCAAGTGTCCAGCAAACATATGAAAAAATGTTTACTATCACTAATCATCAGAGAAATGCAAATTAAAAGCACAATGAGATATCATCTCACACCAGTCAGAATGGCTATTATTTAAAAGTCAAAAAATAATAGATGTTGGCGAGGATGTGGAGAAAAGGTAATGCTTATACACTGTTGCTGGGGGTGTAAATTAGCACAACTCCCATAGAAAACAGTATGGAGATTTCTCCAAAAACTAAAAACAGAACTACCACTTGACTCAGCAATCCCACTACTGGACACCTACCCAAAGGAAAAGAAATTGTTATATCAAAAAGATATCTGCACTCATATGCTTATTGCAGCACTATTTACAATAGCAAAGTCATGAAATCAACCTAAATGTTCACCACTGGTTTACTGGGTAAAGAAAATGTGGTGTTTACACATCATGAAATGCTATGCAGCCATAAAAAAGAACGAAATCATGTCTATTGCAGCAACATGGATAGAGCTGGAAGCTATTATCCCAAGTGAAATAACTCAAACAGAAAACCTAATTCCATATGCTCTCACTTACATGTGAGAGCCAAACAATGGATACACATGAACAGAAAGATGAAAACAATTGACACGGACAGCTCCATAGCTGGGGAGAGTGGAAGAAGGCTGTAAGTTGAAGAATTACCTATTGGATACACTGTTCACTCTTTGGGTTACGGACTCACTGAAAGCGAAATCCTAACCATTACACAATATACCCATGAAATAAACCTGCACATATACCCCCTTAATCTGAAGTAAAATAACAAATAATAATAGTAATAAAATTTCAGTTACACAAAATGAGTGAGTTCATGAGATCTCTGGTATCTGTAGTTAACAATAATGTATTGCACAATTAAAAATTTGTTAAGATGATAGATATCATGTTAATTATTCCCACAATGACAGAAAAACACAAAGAAAAAAATAAAGAGGCACAAGGAAATTTTAGAGATGATGTATATGTCTATTATCTTGATCATGGTGATGGTTTCATGGGTAAATGCATTGGGCCAAATTCATTAAATTGTAAACATTAACCACTTGCAGGGTATCAATTACACCTTAATAAAGTTGTTTAAAAAATGCTTGTATGAACCTGCAATATACTAGTTGTCCCTCATTATTAGATCAGTGCTTACCACATGCTGCTTTCTATATCAGCCTTAAAAATAGGAGTTAGCTGTGGCCAAGGCCTTTCCTCCTTCATGAAAACATCAATCAACTGAACAATGGTTCAGATGGTGGAAGAATGACTGCACGGTGAAGCATGCTGAAGTGTTTGGATCTACTTAACTCAAATACAAAACACATTCATTGATGCTTAGAGCTTGATCCCGTGTGAAATATGTCTGCATGGAGCTTAGCATTCAATAATAAAACAGCTAATTTGGAAGATGTGAATTTTCTAGAAAATTGATTTTTTCTAATTCATTCAGAATAGAGAGAAGACAGCCAGAACTTGAGCCTGGGTAACCAGATCCCTCTGGAAGCAACACAGTGTCTGCTAGGAACCAAGATAAATTCCAAGAACAATGACTTCAGATGGTTTCAGCCCTAGTGTCCTTTAAACTGTCTGATCATGTGTCTCTCATTTCTTTAGATCGTAGACTCCTCATTTTACTTACAGAATAACATTCAGTGTTTCTTTCTTTTTCTCAAAGAAAATCATCAGCTTTTTCAATTAATATGTGCCACAGTGTCTATTGCTTTTCAGAAATATCATTCCTTTTCTGCGTTGCCTATTTCCAATTTTGCGTCTGCAGATGTCTGTGTGCCAAATCTATCCTATAATGTTTTGTCAGCAAGTTATTCCCAGAAAAATAATGCAAAACTCTTAAAATCTGCTCGAGTGATTTCTCAGGAACCTTATGGCTCATTGAAATCCTGCATTCATCCAAAGGGAAGTCTATTACCAAGAGCTATTTGAGGCAACTGTGACATGGAAAAAATTATAAAGAAAAAAAAAACTTGCATCTCAAAAAAAGTTCTCTTCATCTTTGATTTTTATATAAAACCTGGTATCATTATACTCTTTTAAATTTGTTGTTAAAGCAAATCCTTAATTATATCTTTAATAAGTATATATGAAAATACCACAAGCCATGATATCAATTCATCATTCAACACACAGCACATGTCTCTCTCAGCGCATGGCCCAAACCTCCCCTGACCACAGCACTGCAGCACCTCACAGCAACATCCTAAACAGAAATCCTTCAGCATCACACCGTCACCTCCAGCACAAACACAGCGCTAAAGTCTCTTCGACCAGCATCCTCAAATCTCAGTGCCCTGCCCCACTTCAGCAGCTTGAAGAGAGAATAAAATGAAGATTGGGGAAGAGCAGGAGACCTAACCCACTGACAGTGGGAATTATAGAAACACCATTATGGCTCAGAAGGTTGCAAAACCAAAACTTTCTAAAGTGAATCATAATCTTCACATCCTATAAAACGTGACCCCAATGGCTACTAAAAACTGACTTTGCTGACTCAGGTCACCAATTTCACTCAAATCACCTAGATCTCTAATACAACTCTTGAATATTCACCATTAATTATTTTTTTATTTGCATTAATATAAGGGGCTAAAGTGTAGTTTTATTTCATGGATATATTGCATAAGGGTGAAGTCTAGACTTTTAATGTAACCATTGCCCAAACAGTGGACACTGTACTCATTAAGTAATTTCTTCTCTGTCGTCCCCCTCTACCCTTCCAAGTTTCTAATGCCTATTATTCCATATTCTATGTCCATGTATACACATTATTCAGCTCCCACTTCGAAGCGAGAATGTGTGGTATTTTGCTATTTGTTTCTGAGTTATTTCACTTAAGATAATGGCCTCCAGTTCCATCCATGTCGCTACAAAAACCATGATTTTATTTTTGTGTGTGTGGCTGAGTAGTAATCTATTGTATGTGTTGTGTTGTGTATACATACCTCTCACAAAAAATGTGACATACATATATATAAATGTATATATATATATATATATATATATATATACACACACACATTTTAAATTGTATTTACCACTGTGATTTAAACTCAAATGCAAATACTTTGACTATTCACTTTTTGTAATCCTGGAGCTACATATATATCCACTGGGGAGCCTGATATTGTACAAACTGCATGCAGCGATGAGGAAGAGACACTGAAGAAATCAGGGAATAAGGACATTAAACAAGTAAAAAGAAAAATGAAGGAATGAAAACTAAAAGTAATCTCAAGTGTTGTCGGCAGAACAGGATTCAGTCATGCAACCCATGGCAATAGCACGGCCATATACCAAATAGCAGAGAAGCAGCGTTGTAACAGGAAGTCCCCACTCTTTCCTGGGCTTCCTGCAGCAAGTGGTAAAGAAATAGGTGAATACAATGAAAAATCATCCAGTTTTTCCCAAGAATCAATGCTATCCCAGTGTCAGCAGAGCATGGCCCATCTCTGCCTCTACCACAACCTCACATGCTCCGTCCCAGAAATAGTCCCAGACCTGACCCCCTCTTCAGCCACTTTGTTCACTCCTGGTGCAAGTGTTTCCATCACAAACTGGGGTCTCTCAGCTACTTAATCACTTGCTTAATGGTTTGGGGACCATACAATCTTCTGCCAGCCCTAGGCCTACACATTCCCTAACAGATATGTGCAGGAATAGAGGGTACCTTTTAACACCACTACCACTACCAGTAATCATACTAAACAAGCAGAGGAATAAAACTTATTGAATGCTTTTTATGCACTAGGCACTTTCCAAAACCCTATACTTAGGTACTACTTTTATACACATTTCAGATAAGTAAATTGACACTTACAGTGGTTAAGCGATCTGTTGTGAAGTAGCATATCCCAAATTTAAACGCTTGTATGTTCGCTCCAAAGACCACATTCTTTATCACTATTCTAAGCTAAAGCTCACAAGTGAAGACAGTTTTGTCTCCCAGGCTGGAGTGCAATGACATGATCTCGGTTCACTGCAACATCTGCCTCTTGGATGCAAGCAATTCTCCTGCCTCAGCCTCTCAAGTAGCTGGGATTACAGGTGTGTGCCACCATGCCCAGCTAATTTTATATTTTTAGTAGAGACGGTGTTTATCTATGTTAGTCAGGCTGGTCTCAAACTCCTGACCTCAGGTGAGGTGCTGGGATTACAGCCATAAGCCACCATGCCTGGTCAATAATAAATCTTTAAAACTCCAAATACGTAACTAAAATTTTGAAGTATATAATTGTTCCATCAAGAAAGCTTTGTGAATAGGATTAAGTGGACCATAGCTCTTCCATCCCTTTTCAAAAAATCTTTATGGTTGGTCAGCTTCTTTATATTATATGAATTCCAAAATATATTTGCCAGAGAAACTTAATCATATCTACACAAATGATTACTCCTCATCCCTACCTAACCACTTAACCATCCCCACTAGACACCCCACTAACTTCATGTCTCACTGCTAATGCAAAGAAAAATCTAATGTGTTTCTGGCAAACAGAGAGTTTCTGTGGAAATCAATGGAGAGAAAGGTTAACATTGACTTCTAAAGCAAGACAATAGACTAGCTAGTTAAATGTCACAGATATAATTTTCTTATTTGAAAGACAGATCATATGAAATTGATGATGCTTTTCTGTGAGACATTATGTAGGTTAATCATTAGGACTATTTACTATCATTTCCATGCTATAATTCTGCTCAAATATTGAAATTTGTAATACCAAGTAAGAGAAGCTATTTTATTTTATTTTATTTTTTAACTTTTTTTTGAGACAGAGTCTCACTCTGTCACCCAGGTAATAGTACAGTGGCATGATCTCAACTCACTGCAACATTGCATCCTGGGTTCAAGCAATTCTCCTCCCTCAGCCTCCTGAGTAGCTGGGATTACAGGCACCTGCTACCACACCCAGCTAATTTTTGTATTTTTAATAGAGATGGAGTTTCACCAAGTTGGCCAGGCTGGTTTTGAACTCCTGACCTCCAGTGATCCTCCTGCCTCAGCCTCCCAAACTGCTGGGATTGCAGGCATAAGCCACTGCACCCCACCAAGAGAAGCTATTTTAGATCATAAACATATGCTTTTACCAATTAAATAGTATTTTCCTAAGTGAGAAGCCTAGTAATATTATTCTGTTATTAGTAATTACCTGGGAAGAATGTATAATGCTATATGAAACTCTGTGGCTAGGTTGTACATATTACCCTGGAGAAATATACACAGGTAGTAGGATAATAGCATTTCCTTGAAATAAATCAAAGATATATATTATGAGTCCTAAATCTGGCAAACCTTGTTCACATTACCCAAAAGGGTCTGTTTTATCATGTGGTTCACTCCCACATATGTGGGATTAATTTCTAATATATTTTAGAACTATATTAAGCCCAACTGGGATTAATTCCTAATATATTTTTAAAGCATGTTTATATTATATTAAATGGCGTTTCAAGTAACACTCTAATAGGTTTAGGCCTAATAAGACTTTGTTTAGAGGAAGAATGAGCCAACCACAGCCTGTGGGCCAAATCTAGCTCGCTACCTGTTTTTCTTCGACCCATAATTGAGAATAATTTTTCCAGGTTTGCAATCAGTTTGATGATAAAGAATGCTAACTTTGAATCTCAATTAAACAGAATGTTATTTCAAAAAGAAAAAGTGTAAAAGATTTTCAGTGCTCCTATTATTAAATGCAGTAGGCAGACTAACGGTCTCCAACGATGTCCATGCCTAATCCACAGAACCCATGAATATGTTACCTGACATGGATAAAGGAATTTGGTAGATGTGATTAAGGTTGTGGACTATTATGGGTTGGACCATGTCCCCTACAAAGATATACTGAAGTCCTAATCCCTGATACCCATGAATGTTTCTTTATTTGGAAAAAGGGGTTTTGTAGATGTTATCAAGTTAAGATGAGGTTATCAAGGTAAGCCCTAATCCAATATAACTGGTGTCCTTATAAGAAAAGGAGAAGAGACAGAGGCGTAGGAGGAGAGAAGGCCTTGTGCTGATGGAAGCAGAGGTTGAAGCAATGCAGCTGCAAATCAGGAAATGCCGAGGATTGACGGGCATAGCTCTTTCATCCCTTTTCAAAAAGTCTATGGCTGGTCAGCTCCTTTATATTTTAGGGATTCTAAAATATGTTTAAATCCATGCTATAGGAAACTCTGTTGCTATGTTGTACATATTACACCGGACCCATAGTAGTCCATAACCTTAGTCACAGCTGCCAGGTCCCTTTTACCATGTCAGGTAACATATTCATAGGTTCTGGGAATTAGGGCATGGTGGTCCTTGGAGAACATTCTTCTGCCTACTGCATCTATGGAAGAAAGAATAAGAAAAAAAAGGATCCTACTCAGAATCTTAGAGGGAGCGTGGCCCTACTGAAACCTGGATTTTTGATTTCTAGGCACCAGAACTGTGAAAAAGTTTTTCAATAACTGCCATTGTTTTCAGCCACCTATTTTGTGGCACTTTGTTACAGGAACCCTGGAATACTAACTCCGGGACTCTGCATTGCAAAATGTATCCTGAGTTATCCAGGTGGGCCCAGTATAATCAATGGATCCTTAAAACTGGAGTCTTTCCGGGCTGCAGTAGAGAGAGAAATGTGGCGATAGAAGCAGGTGTACAGAGACGCTACCTTCCTGGCCTTGAATAGGAGGGCAAGAGCCATACGCCAAAGAATGCAGGCAACTTCTAACATCTGAAAGGCAAGACAGCAGACTCCACCCCAGAGCCTCTGGAAGAGCAGAGCCCTGCTGACACATTGATTTTAGCCCAGTGAGAACTCTGTTGGACTTCTGACCTCTGAAACTGTACCAAATAACATGAATTTGTTTTCTGTAAGCTACCAAGTTTCTGATAATATGTTATGGCTGCAATAGAAAACTAATACAATAGGTTTGTGTTACAAAAAAAAAAAACTGTTCTTTATTAATTAATTTTTTTACTTTAATTTTGTTGAATTTTGTGAAAATTTGTTTCTCTCTTGTTTGGTAAGTACCTACATAATGTGTTTGATTTTGCATCTTGACCCACAAAGCCTAAAATATTTACTATTTGGTTCTTTACAAAATGTGTTGACATCTGGTTTTGAGTGTTAGCAAATTTCAAGTTTGTTGAAAGGAAAACACTTAATGTGGCTCGTCTATTTATAAATACTACATTCTTGCCAAATAGTTTATTGAAGTTCAGATTAGAGAGGCATATTGATTATAAAGACTTGTATAATTATAGATTTCAAAAAGAATTAAAAGAAACATATCCATTCTTCCTATGACTGTACTCATGCACTTAAAAAATTCATTTGTGAAGCTCGTCATGTGCCACCATGGCACAGTTGGGACAACAGATGCATGCTAAGTATGGGGTCAGAATGAAATATTAGACAACCTGGAACAAAGGTTAGTGTTGACTTTTATTTCCAGAATACAAGCAAGCCAACTCATCCAGAGAGAAGGACAGGACACTGCCTGACTGCAGGTAAACGTGTCATAGCAGTGTTACTATATAGCGCTCTATAAAAATCACGTTTGATAGGAATGTGCAAGACTGGAAAAATAAATATTTTCCCATTAAAAAAAAAGAGACTCACCTATATGTTCAGAATTTGTACCCTAAGGATTTTTTTAGAATTCAAAATTTCTATTATATTATCTGTAAAGTTAAAATAGTCATCTTTTCTATGAGTTCAAAACATATTCATCTTAATCACACCACTTGCAGTTTGGTAGCCTAATTTTGAAGAATGGAAAGTTAAGAAAGCATAAATCAATTGATAAAGAAAGACATTATAAAGTCATTATAAAGCAGGATAAGTACCGCCAGACTGTCCCTGCCATATAGACTAGTTAACCCTGCTTTTATAGGAGAGAAGCAGGTCGCTTAATGAAAAGCATCTTTCATTCAGTAGTAACAAATCGTTGTGTCTACCCTATGCTGAGAATGAGAAACCTAGCCTTGCCCCTGCTCCTCAATAAACTCAGTCATTTGCTGTCAGAATGGAAGGCGCATTTAACCTTTGCTCCCACACTATGTGAGTCAATCTATGGGTCGCATTAGCATAGAACAGGTACAAGCTGAGATGTTCTTACCCATTGCCAGATTGGCAAAAAATATAGCAGAGAGGCCATATGAGACTTCGGAATTAGACAGACCTAGATTCAAACCCTCACTCCTTATTAGCTATATAATCGTGGGAAAATAGTCTAAGATGTGGGACTCAGTTTCCTAGGGCTCAGACGTAAAATAAGAACCATCGCATCTCCTTCGTGGTGTTGCGTGAGGACTGACCAGGAAGCACACAGATGCTCACCCAGTTGGCGCATCATACAGGATGCTGGGTACATACTAACCATGAGTGTCTTTCTAGGAGATAAAGTAAACATCAAGATACACAATGAAAGGAACACTCAGCCTTCTTTGTACATCCTATAGGAGGCTTGCGAAATCACTGGGTTTCTGTCACTTAGGGGACCCAGTAATGGAGCCCCTGCTGTACTCACCGACACGTAGCCATACATATAGCCACGGGTAAGAGAAGGTGGGGACGGGACATCAAACAACCTGGAACAGAGGCCAGTACTGACTTCCATTTCCAGATTCACATGCAAGCCTACTAACCCAGGATACTACAAAGATTTCAAAACGTTTACATTGAGGTGAGAACATCATGACAAGGAAGGGTGCATGGAAGAAAGGGGTGGGCAGTAAAAAGAAGGAGGAGGAAATAATAGACACAGGCAGGAGGCTTAGAGGCACATATTGCTCAGTCACTCAGTATCCCAGGGGCGGGCTCGTGGTCCAGTCCCCGAATCTTTCTAGACTCACATGTATAGTAAGGATTGATCATGCTCATTCCAGCTCCAAATGTCTTTCATTTTTATGATTCTATTTTCCTGAGGTAGAGTAGTGATGAATGATAATGGAGAGGTAAGAAGATTAATTGGACGATTTCAAAAGATAAACAGAAATGACTAGTGAATATGAGCAGTAATACTTCAACTTTTTAAATAATGTAAATTAAATCCATGTGATGCAGCATTTGCCTATCAATGAAAGAAATTAACAAGAACATCCGTGTAGATGAGAGCACCGTGAAATACAAGCACTCTGACGTTGTGGATAGGGGTGCGGATTGGTATGAGAGTTTGGAAAGAAATTTGGTAATGTTTATCAAAATAATTTAGAATATTCATATCTTTTGGCCTATTAATTCTTCTTAGAAACTACCATAAGCCAAAATGCCCACAAAAGTTATCCACAGACATGCAGCATTTATAATAACAATGGTAAATTGGACATCACTCAAGTATTCAATATTAGCTAGACACTTAAGCCAGAATATATCAATATGTGACCATGTAAAAAAAAGCTTTTTAATAACATGGGGAAATTTATAACATTAAAAATGTTAAGAAAAGAAAGCATATGTTCTCAGGTAAACTAAAACTTTATTTTAAAAAATATACTAAGAAATTACTATTGCCGGAATAATGAACACATTTCCTAATTTTTCGTATTTTTCCAAATCTTAACAAAGCACATGCTTCATCTTTAAGCTCAGAAAGAATGTAAAGCTAAAATAATCTTCATAAAAAGAAAAAATAAATAAAAGGGAATTGTTCTCATCCATTTTCTTTCATAGTTCTGAGGCCTTATGTTCATGAGAAGAAAGATAAGAAAATTTGCAGGAAAACAATATTTTTATTCATACTGTATTGATTTTGGAAAGGCCACGAGACAGTGGAAAGAGAAATTAAGAAATGGTGACATAAATTATTGAACAGGGAGCCATTTCTAGAAGAAACATTTTAAACCTCTCCAAAAATTAAATGCCACATAATGTGGCATTTTTCATTTTCATTTTAATTGCATTGTTATATGTAATAGAATTAAAATTTTAGAATATACCTTGGCCATGCTCTCCTCTGAGATGCTTCTTAAAGTCTTTTCATCTCTTATAAATTTCTTGTATGTTAAGAAAAGAAAAATCTTTCTACCAAAGCTTTCATTTCCAATTATATTATAAAAGTTTTGCTCTTCAATTCCTCTCCCAGGAAGCTATGAGTGAAAATTTTATACTGTGGTCTTTTAACTTTTTCAGCTAAGATCTTTTAAAAGTCATTTTCTCCGTATTTTCCTCCTCTATTACTTGACTTTTGCATTTAATCCATGTTTAAAGACCTGTTTTATATTTCTGTGTTTTATCTACATCTTTTCTGGCAGTCAGCAGAAATACATACATATTTCATACTCACAATAATAAACCATATCAGATCCAGAATGAGAAATTTATCTCTTAAAGATCTCGATATGAGTTAATATTACACCTTCTCTAGATAAATGTGTCAATCAGGAAATTAGTTTAAATTTAATTTAGAGGAGCCCCATGATATAGTGAAAGGATCCCAAGGCTTGAAGTTAGAACACCTGTATTTGGAGTTCGATCCACCATATTTATGATTGGCACAATTCACTTGGTCCTTTGACTCACAAATCTGTCACATGTGGAACTGAGATGACATCATCTTCACAGCATTACTGCGATGATAAGAGATAATACATTTAGAAATGGGTGCAACGTTGTGAAGTCACTGTTAACCCTTTCACGCCAAAAGAGGAAAAAGGGCTTTGATAGAGCTTCTTCATTCTATTAACATGCTGTATTTATTCAAATAAAAAAATAGTAAAAGTACATTTAATAGATTTGGTGACCCAGTCTGGACACAGCTCATTGCCTGGACACATTTCCTTGAATACAGCTCAAAAATTCACCAGCGTTAACGTGATGTGATTTTTTTTTCCAGGTAAAAATTCTACATGATTCAACAACTAAAACAGATAGTTTACACAACAGAGGGCAGCTACTCTCATAGTAAGCAGAATATTGCCACTTACAAGCTCAGTATTTCCCTATAACAGAAACATTTTCTCTAAAACAGCTTGTTGGGGTCAACAGATTAGGATTTATATGCACTTTCAAAATCAAACAATATAGTTTTTTTTTCTTTTCCAACTTAGTAATGTAAAGACCTCTTTTAAAGGAAAAGGATCTCAGTGACTGCCAATGTTGACAAATTATTTTTACAACAATATTAATATACACCACCAGGTAGGATCTGCCTGCCCTATCCTCATGGTTCTTTTGCAATAACTATAAAACTAAAATTAATTTGTAAATTAAAAGCAATCAAAATTTTTAAGTAGTGTGAATATCTATAATATTGATGAAAATAAACACATTATTTCACTGAAAGTAAATTATAATTCTCAATGTGAATATGTAAATACATGCATATGTAAAGCCTGACATGTCTATAAATATGATTTTCTCAACATTTTTGTCTATTCCAACTTTTATAAAATCACAAGTTATATCTGTAGTGTACATATGGAGAACATAAGAGCAATGTCTGAGTTACATGTTTAGCATACATAGGAAACACAAGGAAACGTCTGAGTTACACATGCAGTGAACATAGAAAACATGTACACACACCTGAGTTATATAAATAGTGCACATATGCAATCATTGCAGGCACACACCTGAGTTATACATGCAGTGCACAAACACAACACTGACAGGCTCACACCTAAGTTAGATACACAGTGCATGTAGGAAACACAGACACATGTCAGAGTTATATACATAATCCATGGAAAACATACAGACACACACCTGAGTTACACATGTGGGAGCACCAACAGGCACATGCCTGAGTTATTCAGGTGGAGTACCTGTAGGGGACACACAAGCAATGCCTGAATTCCATCTGGAAGACAAATCTAGTCTTTTCCCCTTAACTCAAGATAAATAAATAGCACTGCCTCAGTCTAATCAGATTATTAATTCATCAAAAGTGTGCTACAAAAATTGCATGATCAGACTGCATCAGGAGACCCAGATAACCCTGACATGCATAAATTACTGTTTTAGAGCTATAAACAAAATATAATTATAAAATTGATCATTTTCTTGGAGAATACACAAGCATAGGGAAAATGCTCACATACTCTTGTTTGAGAAACTCTGCAATTGATAAAATGACTTATATCCAAAATTTTTAATTTTTTAAATAAAATAGAATCCTAGAATTCCTCATTTGAATAGAACGTGCAGGACACCAGAGTTCAGCCAGATCTGACTTATTTATTTATGTTGCTGACTCAGGATGACAGCATCCACAATAGCCTCCAAGGATTGGGAGTTCTGGCATTTAATTTAACCTAGTCTCCATCATTGCCCTTCATCTTCTCCTCATTGCTGCTGCGTCTCCTCTCTTTTCCACCTTCATGCCCTGTCCTTGCTCTTCTTCAGTACCATGCACATTTGAGGACAGACAAAACAGACATACCATGAAACAGATTTGTTTTCAGTCTGAAAGCCCATAAAACAGCACCTCTGTGGAAGGGAAGCTATAGTTACAGCTGGTGGTGTAGCTGGAAATTCTGAATTCCCCTGCAAACGTTTAAGACTGGGCCGTTTTCTGCTATCAGTTATAGAACAAATAGAACCCCAGGTCTGCTCAGCTGCACAATTCACACGGAGAGTATTGGGCATCCCACATATATTGAGTAAATGATTTGACATTTTGCTATTACATATATAGCTATGATCTACAATAAGGACAGTAGAAAGAGAAGTAGACACCTAAGAGGCTGATTTACTGAATTTTCAGTAATTCATTCAATTTAGCAAATATTTATACAGTGCCATTTTTCTGCAAAATACTGAATAATTTTTATTTTTCTCTTTACAGCAATTGTGAAATAAAATAACCAGATACCTATGCTCCAACTTAAATATCCATCTCCTTTACTTAAAACACATATTGACCATCTATCATGAAGTACCAGATGTTCTGTTGGGGTCAGTGAGAGATTAGAGTCAATAAAAAATATTTCTGGATTAAAAGACTAGAACACATTTTATGAATAACATAAAAATTCAGACTGGGGAAAAAAACAATTTCAACAGATAATAACAGAGAAAGGCAACAAAGACAAGCAAAGTGAAAGCAATATAGCATTTTGGTTAGGAACAAGAATATGAAGAAGTAGAAAGATCTGAGTTTAAGTTTCAGATTTTTTCAATTATTTGTATGACCTTGGGAAATCTTTTAACCTCTCCACGCTGTAATTTCCTCTTATGTTCCAGCAGGCTCGATAAAAGTACCTAACACATTCTTTTGTCTTGTTTTTGCTTTGGAGAATTAAATGAGATAAAGCACAGTACCTGGCAGAGGGCTAGTGCTAAATAAGGGCTATGCATTTTCACTATAATTACTACTTTTAATATATTCGTGCCAGAAAGAGCATAAGAAAATGAATGGAGGCCAGGTGCGGTGGCTCACTTCTGGAATCCCTACGCTTTGGGAGGCTGAAGCAGGTGGATCACTTGAGGCCAAAAGTTTGAGACCAGCCTGGCCAACATGATGAAACTCCCTTCTTAATCTAAAATACAAAAATTAGCTGGGCATGGTGGCACATGCCTGTAATCCCAGCTATTGGGGAGGGTGAGGCAGGACAATTGCTTGAACCCAGGAAGCAGAGGTTGCAGTGAGCTCAGATTGGGCCACTGCACTCCAGCCTGAGTGATAGAGTGAGAAAGAAAGAAAGAGAGAAAGAGAAGAAAGAGAAAAAAGAAAGAAGGAAGGAAGGAAGGAAGGAAGGAAGGAAGGAGGGAGGGAGAGAGGGAGGGAGGGAAGGAAAGAAAGAAAAGAAGACGAAGAAGAAGAAGAAAGGAAGGGAGGGAGGGAGGGAGGGAAGAAAGGAAGGAGAAAGAGAAAAAGAGAAAGAAATAGAAAAAAAGAGAAAGAAAGGAAAGAAGGAAGGAAGGAAGGAAGGAAAGAAAGAAAGAAAGAAAGAAAGAAGAAAAAGAAAGAGAAAAAAGAGAAGGAAGGGAGGGAGGGAGGAAGAGAGGAGGGAGGGAGGAAGGGAGGGAGGAAGAGAGGAGGGAGGGAGAGAGGGAGGGAGGGAGGGAGGGAGGGAGGGAAGGAAGGAAGGAAGGAAGGAAGGAAGGAAGGAAGGAAGGAAGGACCCCACTCTGGAAATGGTGAGCATTCTCATTTGGTTAAAAGATTAGATTATAGAAGAAAAGTAGAGGCTGGTTGGTTTTAGTCAAATTGAGGATAAAGGGTTTAATGTGCAGATAGTAAGAAAATCTTTGAAACATCTTGAACAGAGCCATGATAAAATCAGAGGTGCACTATTGGCAGGATAAGGTGGAGAGAGGTAAAAATCAGAACATTTTATGAAAAGAATTCCACTTAACCAAATAAGAATTAAGAGGTAAAATGGAATTAGAGTGTTGACATGAAAAAGAAGAACTGAATTTGAAAGAGATATTATGGAGGTAGAATCCCTTAGAACATTTAGAAGCACTTTTAATTTCAAAGAGTTTGGATAAAACAGGTCTCATAGGAAGAGCGAAGGTCATGCCATAAGCCCAATCTGTGCATAATAATGACACTAAATATCTACTCTGTGCCAGACACATTGTATTACTACATTTTCCATTGTCATAGTGGAATACCTGAGACTGGGTAATTTATAAACCAGAAGAGTTTTATTTGGCTCATGTTTCTGCAGGTAGGGCAAGCATGGCACCAGCATCTGCTTGGCTTATGATGAGGCCTCAGGAAGCTTACAATCATGGTGGAGGACATAAGAGGAGCCCACAGATCACATGGCAAGATTGAGCAAGAGAGCAGGGAGGAGGTGCCAGGCTCTTTTAAACAACCAGGTCTGGCATGAACTAATAGAGTGAGAACTCACTCAACACCGAAAAGATGGCACCCAGTCATTCATGAGGTTGCCGTTCCTAGATCACTAGACACCTCCAGCTTTGGAGGTCACGTTTCAACATGAGATGCTGAGGTGACACATATCGAAAACATATCACATGTTATGTGTCATTTTAGATTCCTTTTAAGACTGATTATCCAATGGATTTCACGTCCTCACATAACCCAACTAAAAAAGAGAAAAAAAAGAAACTTCCTTTAGTTATTTCCAGCAACCTTCCCTCCTATCTCCCTGGCTTCAATTGGCTACATTTCCATTCCTGAACCAATAACTGTGGGCAAGGGGTTGTCATATGCTTTAGGATGTAAGTATTGTTTATCTGAATCAATATTTGTGTTTAAAATAATAAAACTATATTAATGTGGTTAGAACAGTGATTCTCAGCCTGAGGCAATTTTGTCCTGCAGGGGACATTTGCTAATGTCTGGAAAACTTCTGGTTGTCACAACTACAACAGTGTTACTGGTCTCTAATTGGTAGAGTCCAGGGATATTGTTACAGATCCTACAATGCACAGAACAGCCCCCTAAAACACAGGAGTATTGGACCCAACATTTTAATCATGTTGAGAGTGAGAATGTTGGCTTTGAACAACCGGAGGTCATCCCTGGATCTGAGTGTGGGATCAGCTACAAATCCAACCTCACATTAATAGATAAGGATAAAACCAATGTTAGAGAGACAACAAAAAGTCCATTAAATTAATAATACTCAACAAAAATTAATATAGTTGGGGTGTGGGGGCATTGCAGGAATGCTGCGGTACAATATTTCCAAATATCTGCTCCTCCATAATAGCAAGAAAACACTAGCAATACTATCAAAATCAACATTTTAAGAACTCTGTCAACTAACCAACAGAGGAATTCAAGGACTTTTTATTAAAGAAGGAAAAGCTGCATTTCAATGAGAACAGTGACCTTTCTGGCGTTTTAACACACCCTACTCCCATCTTCTCTTCTCATCTCCACAATAGCTTTGAAAACCAACAGCCTGGTAAACATAATAGCAGTGATAAGCACAGCCATAAAAAAACAGTAGCTACCAACCAATGGAGAGGGAAAAACAGATTTGAAGCTCCTCAAAAGCTTCCCTTACCAGTTGTTGTTATTATTTGACCTGGCTGGTAGTTTCCTGGAAACCTCTATAAGCAGGGCTTGTCTTTACATGACCAGACTCAGAGATCATTCCTTCTAAACAACATTTCCCCAGGAATTTGCCAGAAACCATCCATGATAATTGCTTAACATCATAGCTGCCTGAAACATCTATAAAATTTGGGCAAACGAGAAGCTGACCAAAACATTACGTGGAAAATGTGATGAATGAGCTGCCCATAGGGTCTGTCTGCTTGGGCTGCCATAACAAAATACCAGAGACTGATCACTTGAACAACAGAAATTTATTTTTTCAGTCCTGGAGGCTAGAATGGTCCAGCACAGTCAAGTTCTTGCAAAGTCTCTTTCCCAGGCTTCCTTCTCACTGTATGCTGATTTGGTTCACATGCACACAGACAGGAGCAACATTTCTGGTATCTCTTCTTTTAAGGGCACTAATCCCATCATGAGTTCCCATTCACATGATCTCATCTAACGATATTTATCCACCCAAAAGCCTCATCTCTGAATATCATCGTATTAACATACTTTGAGTGCCACACAAATATTCAGTCCATACATTCTTCCCTGGACCCTCAAGATGTCCTTCTCACATGCAAAATACATTAATTTTGTCCCAACAGCCTCAAAAGTCTTAACAGAGTCCAGCATCAATTCTAAAGTACAAAGTCTCATCTAAATAGTATCTAAATCAAATATAAGCAAGACGTATCCCAAAGCAAAATTGTTCTCCAGCTGTAAACTGGTAAAATCATACAAGTTATGTAGCTTCCAAATTACAACATATAGTGAAATAGGCATGAGATAGCCATTCCCATTACAAAAGGAAGAATTAAGAAAGAAGGAACAAGAGACAGGTCCCAAGAAAGTCTAAAACCAAGCAAGGCAAATTCCACCAGCTTTTAAGGCTCAAGATATCTCTTTTTCATTTAATGCCATCTCTTCTAGACCTACAGGGATAGTGGATTCTGCCTCCATGGTTTTACACAGCCCTGCTTCCATCCTCAAGGCTTTAGTCACAGGCCATATGGCCTATGAAATTGAGGTAATGGTCCCACCCTTTGCCACGGCATTACCCTGATGATCTTTGAATTGCCTTTAGGGTCACTACTTCGTTTTCTTAAAAAGCACAAGGTTACAGCCCAATAGCCCTCTGGTCCGCTCTTGTAGGATCTAAAAGTCTGACAGCCTTTATTTCATCTCATTTTCTTTTGACCCCTTAGTTCCAACTGACAGCATTTTTGCTTGTATAATTGATCTCTATTCCTGGCCTCCTCTGAGATGGCTGATTCAGTCCATCAGTCATTACCATGATCTCTTTATCATATAATTGTTCAACCACACCCTTCATGTTGTCTTCACAACAAGCTTTTTTATTTTTTTGCAATATGGATAGGCTGAGAACTTTCCAAATCTTCAACTCTGGTTCCTTTTTGCTTAACAACTTCTTCTTGAACTTTCTCTCCTTTCACATTTTACCATAAACAGTCAGGAGGAACCAAGACTCTTCTTCAACACTCTGCTTATATATCTCCTTAGCTAAGTATCCAATTTTATCACTTGCTGAATAGGAGTGGTGAGAGAGGGCACGCTTGTCTAGTGCCAGTTTTCAAAGGGAATGCTTCCAGCTTTTGCCCATTCAGTATGACACTAGCTGTGGGTTTGTCGTAAATAGCTTTCATTATTTTGAGATACATTCCATCGATACCTAGTTTATTAAGAGTTTTTAGCATAAAGGGTTGGTGAATTTTGTCAAAGACCTTCTCTGCATCTCTCGAAATAATCATGTAGTTTTTGTCTTTAGTTCTGTTTATGTGATGGATTTCATTTATAGATTTGTGTATGTTGAACCAGTCTTCCATCCCTGGGATGAAGCCTACATGGTTGTGATGGATAAGCTTTTTGATGTGCTGTTGTATTCAGTTTGCCAGTATTTTATTGAAGATTTTGGGATCTATGTTCATCATGGATATTGACCTGAAATTTTCATTTTTAGTTGTATCTCTGCCAGGTTTTGGTATCAGGATGATGTTGTGAATGAGTCAGGGAGGATTTCCTCTTTTTGTATTGTTTGGAATAATTTCAGAAGGAATGGCACCAGCTCCTCTTTTTACATCTGGTAGTATTCAGCTGTGAACCCACCTGGACCTGGACTTTTTTTGATTGGTAGGCGATTAATTGCTGCCTCAATTTCAGACCTTGTTATTGGTCTATTCAGGGATTCAAGTTTTTCCTGCTTTAGTCTTGGGAGGATGTAAGTGTTCAGGAATTTATCAATTTCTTCTAGATTTACTGGTTTATGTGCATTGAGTAGTTTGATGGTAGTTTGCATTTCTGTGGAATTGGTGGTAATATCCCCTTTATCATTTTTTATTGTATCTATTCGATTCTTCTCTCTTTTCTTTTTTATAAATCTGGCTAGCAGTCTATCTATT